GTGGTTTATTTCAGAAAATTGAGATTCCTGAGTGGACGTGGGAGCGTATCACTATAGACTTTGTTGTTGGACTCCCACGGACTCAGAAGAAGTTTTATGCAGTGTGGGTTATTGTGGATAGGCTGACCAAGTCAACGCATTTAATTCCTGTGGCGGTTTCCTATTCTTCTGAGCGGTTGACAGAGATTTATATCCGGGAGATCGTTCGTCTTCATGGTGTGCCCGTGTCTATCATTTCTGATCGGGGTATACAGTTTACCTATCATTTCTAAAGGGCAGTACAATGTGAGTTGGGTACGCGGGTCGAGTTGAGCACATCATTTCATCCTCAGACAGACGGACAGTCCGAGCGTACTATTCAGATTTTGGAGGATATGCTTCGAGCATGTGTTATTGACTTTGGAGGTTCTTGGGATCAGTTCTTTTCATTAGCAGAGTTTGCCTACAACAACATCTACTAGTCGAGCATTCAGATGGCTCCCTATGAGGCATTATATGGTAGGCAGTGTCAGTCACCGATTGGGTGGTTTGAGCCAGGAGAGGCTCGGTTGTTGGGTACAAATTTAGTTCAAGATGCCTTGGTTAAGGTAAAGATCATTTGGGATAGTCTTCGTACAACTCAGTCTAGGTAGAAGAGTTATGCCGACCGCAAGGTTCATGATGTGGCATTCATGGTCGGAGAGCGAGTGTTGCGTAGGGTGTCGCCCATGAAGGGAGTGATGAGATTTGGGAAGAAGGGCAAGCTAAGCCCTAGGTTCATTGGTCCTTTTTGAGATTTTGGATCGAGTGGGAGAGGTGGCTTACAGACTTGCATTGCTGCCGAGTTTATCAGCTATGCACCCAGTGTTTCATGTGTCCATGCTTCGGAAGTATCACGGTTATCCATCCCACGTGTTAGACTTCAGCACTGTCCAGTTGGACAAGGATTTGACCTATGAGGATGAGCCTGTGGCCATTCTAGATCGGCAGGTTCGTCAGTTGAGATCAGAGAGTTACCTTTCTGCTCGTGTTCAGTGGAAAGGTCAGCCTGCCAAGGCAGCTACTTGGGAGTCCGAGTCCGATATGCAGAGCCGATATCCCCATCTTTTCCCCGACTCAGGTACTTCTTTTCTATGTCTGTTCGAGGATGAACGGTTGTTTTAGAGGTGGAGGATGTGATAACCCAAAAGGTCATTACTTGATTTACAAGTCAATTCTGTGTTCTAAGACCTTAAAAACTTCTTTTATCTCACCTCAATTTGCGTGCGCAGTCCAGACGTATATCCGGAATGCTTTTATGTGAAAATTTGATAAAAGTGCTAATATTGCCTTTAAAATTGAATTAAGTTGACTTCGGTCAACATTTTCGGTAAATGGACCCAGACCCGTGATTTGACGATCTCGGAGGGTCTGTAAAAAATATGGGATTTGGGCGTATGCCCGAAATTGAATTCCGAGGTCCCAAGCCCGAGAAATAAATTTTTGAAGAAAATTGTTTAACTGAAATTATAAGAGTTTTTGGAAATTTAAATGTGTTTGAATTTGATGGTATTGGGCCCGTATTTCGGTTCCGGAGCCCAGTATAGGTCTTATATGGTATTTAAGTTGTGCCTGTAAAATTTGGTAAGAAACAGAATTCATATGACGCGAATTGGATCCTCGGTTGTGAAATTTGAAACTTAAGAGTTCTTGAAAATTTTCTTTGATTTTGATGCTGAACTTGAAGTTCTAGGTGTTACTTTGGTGATTTGATCGCACGAGTAAGTCCGTATGATGTTTTTAGGTTAGTTTGCATGTTTGGTTTGGATCCTCGAGGGCTCGGGTGAGTTTTGGATGGGGTTCGGGATATTTTGGACTTAGAATTTCTGCTGTCATAGCTGTTGCAGATGCACAGTGAATTTGTTCTTCGCGTTTGTGTGGCTTCACTTGCGAACACGTAAGGCAAATTTCCTCAGGGGTCATTTTGTTCTTCGCGAACGCGGAGCTCAGGACGCGAACGCGAAGCTCTGGCGGGTTACCCTTCAGGAACGCGTTCTGGCCCACATGAACGCATAGAGTTAGTGGGCCTGGGGGAGGGAGCTCAATTTGTTCTATGCGAACGCGGCCGTTTGATCGCGAATGCGAAGGCCTGAGGAGCTAAAGCTCCGTGAACGCGGGCCATCCAATGCGAACGCGAAGGCCATTTGGGCTTGACCCATCGCGAACGCGATGAAGGCCTGCCCAGTCTATTTAAAATAGATTTAAAAACGGGCAGAACCCATTTTCTTCATGTTTTCGAACTACCAAGACCTAGAGGCAATTTTCCTCACACAAATTCATCCCCAAAGTGTTGGTAATCAATTCTAAACTGAACTCTTTCAATTATCCAACGTATTTCATCACTTATTAATCAAAAATCAAGAATTTTCATGGTAGAAATTGGGAATTTGGGTAAAGTTAGGGCTTTTTGAATAATTGGAATTTAGAGCTCGTTTTGGGATCGGATTTCAAAACTAATTGCATATTTGGGGCCGGGGTCAATTTTTGACTTTTTGAGGAAAATGATAGAAAACCTATAATTTAGCATTGGGGTTGAACTCTTTAGCATTTATTGATATTGTTAAATTAATTTGGGTTAGATACAAGTAAATTGGAGGCGAATTCTAAAGGAAAAACGGTGTTTGAGGCTTGAGTTGACCATGGAAGTTCGAGGTAAATGTTTGGTGTAACCTTAGCTTGAGGGAATATGTATTGTACTTTATCTGCTATGTGCTAGTGTAGTGTATGATGTGTAGGTGTGGTGATGAGTATCTATACATTGGTGTCAAGCATGCCCGTGAGTCTTAAATTGTGATCGTTGTGTTTCTTAATAAGTAATACAAATGCCTAAATTGTTGATTATCCATGTTGAGCAAGACTTTTGACTATCTTCTTGGTATTTGTTTATTATCGAGCATTGGCTCCAGTTAAGGTTCATTTGTGAAGTTAATTATTGGTACAAGTTTGGTTATAGCTGATTCCTTTGCTGAAATGTATTTAATTCTTATTGTTGATTCCCTTGCCGGAATGTATTTATTCTTGTTGTTGATTCCCTTGTTGGATGTTGTTGTTGCTATTGTTTGGGTGAGGAAAGAGAGATAAAGCACGAAAGGTGATGCCGTGCACATTCATACTTTTGCATATGGTGAGGAAAGAGCGATAAAGCACGAAGGGTGATGTCGTGTATATTTATATTGATATTGATGCATATGGTAAGGAAGAGAGATAAAGCACGAAGGGTGATTCCGTGCATATTTTTAATATTTATATGGTGAGGAAGAGAGATGAAGCACGAAGGGTGATGCCGTGCACGTTTTCATTATTTGATTGCATTGGTGAGGATTGAGAGTAAAAGCACGAAAGGTGATGCCGTGCACTTTTTGCCTGTTTGTTATGATTTCTTGTTGTTATCGGTTCAAGTACCTTAATTGTTTTATTCTGTTGTATTTATGTTGGTATTTCCCCCATAGCATGCTACCCCTCCCCGTTACTTTTGAATTGCTTTTATTACTGTTATTCTGCTAGATACTGCTTAACTGCAGGTTATGTTGTTTGTTGTGTGACAAGGCTAGGCTCGACACTTACTCAGTACATGGGGTCGGTTGTACTGATGCTATACTTTGCACTCTTTTGTGCAGATCCTGGTACTGAAGCATACAGACCTTAGCAAGGGGTTGCTGCCTTCAGTCCATCGAAGATCCGAGGTAGTCCTACAGGCGTCCGCAGGCCTTAGCGTCCCCTTTCTATCTTGTTTTCTCCTATTCTTTTCTATTTGAGAGACAGACATGTATTTATTTTTTTCAGGCCCTATTTGTAGTATTCTTAGATAGTCCGTGAGATTGTGACACCAGTTCTGGGTAGTTTATGTTTATGGATTTGTATTGTTATTAGCTTAATCGTTAAATTTTGTTCTTTCACATTATTATTACCGTAGTTTATAATATGTTAACTTGCAACTGTTAAGAGATTAAAACTGAAAAAGGTAAATAAATTGGAATAATTGGCTTGCCTAGCTTTCACTAGTAGGTGTCATCACGACTCCCGAGAGTGGGAAATCTGGGTCGTGACAAATGTAAGTCACCAGCACACCCTTCACCTCCAGACACCTCCAAAGGACGTCCCTGGGAACCTTGTCATACGCCTTCTCTAGGTCAATAAACACCATATGCAAATCCCTCTTCCTATCCCTGTATAGTTCCACCAACCTCCTGATAAGGTGGATAGCTTCCGTAGTAGAACGATTATGAATCCGAACTAGTTTTTCGACATAGACATTGCCCTCCTTATCCTCCTTTCCACCACCCTCTCCCACACTTTCATGGTATGACTTAGTAATTTGATACCCCTATAGTTGTTATAATTCTGGATATCCCCTTTGTTCTTGTACACTAGAACCATTGTACTCCACCGGCACTCATCAGGCATCCTCTTTGTCCTGAAGATAACATTAAACAACCCAGTCAGCCACTCCAAAAGTCTCGGTGACTCTCGGATTGCCCAAATTGCCCTAACATGATGTTTCCACCCCCTTCATTCAGAAGTTTATGAAAGTACAACTTCTATCTTTGCCTATTCTGGGCCTCTTCCATCAATACTCGACCGTCCTCATCTTTGATGCACCTCACTTGATCCAGGTCGCGAGCCTTCTTCTCTCTCGCTTTGGCCAACCGAAATAACTTCTTGTCCCCACCTTTGCCCCCAAGTTCCTCATAAAGCCGACAAAAATAAGCCGTCTTAGCCTATGTTACCTCTAATTTTGCCTCCTTCCTAGCCTCCTTATATCTTTCTCTGTTCTCTTTCCTCTGATCCTCGTCGGTGCTATCTACTAACTTAATGTAAGCCATTTTCTTGGCTTCCACTTTACCTTGGACCACGTCATTCCACCACTGGTCGCCTTGGTGCTTGCTAGATTAACCTTTAGAAACTCCCAACACCTCTCTTGCTGCCTCCCTTATGCAGTTCACCGTCGCCCTCAACATAGTGCTAGCGTCCCTACCACTCTTCTAGGCACCCATATTCAGCAGCCGCCCCTCCAACTCCTGCGCATTATCCTTAGACAAAGCTCCCCACCTGATCCTCAACTGACCCCGTATAAACCTCTTCTTCCTCTTCATCAAGATACCGACGTCCATCACTAAGAGCCTATGTTGAGTTGCGAGGTTATCACTCGGGATCATCTTGCAATCCTCACACAACCCCCTATCATACCTCCTAAGGATGAGGTAGTCAATTTGAGTCCTAACAACCATAATTCGGAAAGTAACCAAATGTTCCTCCCTCTTCGGAAACATAGAGTTCACGATCACCAACTCAAAAGCTCTAGCGAAATCCAACAGTGAGGTACCACCCCCGTTCCTATCACTAAAGCCGAAGCCACCGTGTACCTCACCATAGCCACCAGCAGATGACCCAATATGACCATTGAAATCCCCTCCTATAAATAGCTTTTCCGTAGGCAGAATACCCTGCACCACCTTATCCAGCACCTCCCAGAAGCACCTCTTAACCTCCTCGTCTAAGCCTGTTTGCGGCGCGTAGGTCATTACTAGTAAAAATTAACCAATGATTGTTACTCCCGCTGTTTCAGTTTAGATGACACATTTTTTTATTAGTACGTTCCAAAAAGAATGACACATTTTTACAATTGAAAATAATTCAACTTCAAACTCTTCATTTTGCCCATTTTACTCTTAATGAGAAGTCTTTATAGTCACACAAATGTCATGGCCTCACAAAGCTTTTACCCCTTAAACTTTTAAGACCACAAATTTTAAGTCTTTTTTTTAACTCCGTATCGAGTCAAACTACCTTATCTAAATTGACACGGGATACAAATTTAAAAGAAAAATTAGTCAATGATGGAAAGTTATTTTCAAGAATTTGTGGAAGAAGCCAGTGTACTTTTTCTTTTGCTATTCTTTTGAAGGGGAAAGAGCATTGCACAATTGCAGTACTTTTAAAGAAATTTCATGGGCTAGTCATTGCTTTTGCAATATGCTATTAAAAAAACTTTTTACTTTTTTGCATGCCTCATCCACAAGGAAAAGTAGCATTTAATCAGTTATAAAAGTGGTGGATTACCCATGCTTGCACTTATTATTAACCCCTTTTAACTTTTGCTGATATCTATGTATTAGCCAATAATTTCCAATAACTGCTTTTTGGACCACCTTAAAGCCTTTTCAAGTGTTTTTGGATCTCCAAATAGTAAGGATTATATTCTGACCTGCTCCAACCTAGACGTTTTTACATCATTAGTTTGGTTTCTTAATTAAGTGACTTAGACTCTACATTGAATTGGATTATTGAGTACTAATTAACTTTCCATATAGAGAATATTCTATAAACCACTTGAGAGAAAAAGAAAAAGGAAAAAAGAAAAGAATTAACCGTCGCAATAATGAGTTTATGCAAAAGTTATGAGTGATGAGTGGGAGAAGGAATATTAAAACATTGTCATTTGTGGATGCATGCATGCCTGACTGTCATTTTCTAGTTCAAACTTTTAACTCTAATTTGCGAACCAAATATCAAACAAAAAGGGATCGGGTTTTTGGAATGGTTTCGATATTATATGCGAAAAGTAGAGTAAAAAGCAACCCATTATACAGTAAAGCATTTGGCACATTCATGCTAGATTCACCAAAGAAAATCTTTCTGTTTTTCGCTCCCCTCCTCCTCCCCCCAAACGCACACACGCACACAAAAAAAAACTAGCTATAATTAGATTTTCTTTTTCCCTTTTATGTGCAAACAGAACAAGTAGGCGTTTGCACACTATTACATTTGGTTGAAATTTAGAAGGGGAAAAAAAAGATTTGAAGCTGAAGTTAAAAAAAGTTTGATTTTTTTGTTCTTCAAATATTCAAAATATTAACAACTTTGAAAAGAAATTTTAAAAAGATAGACAACATTATTAATTTAAGGCGGACCATATACAATTGTTAGTTAAGTATACTGCTAGTTTGAACAAAATATAAAATAATATTGTCAAGTCCTATGAGCTAATTAGTTAGGTCATTTTTAATGTTCGGCATCAATAAGAGTAGGCTTATAGTTGTGTAACAAACGTACATTGCTATATGCAAGGCAAACCCATGATTTGAGCATGATGGAGGCATTACTCTATTATCTTATCGTGAAAATGGTAATGACAATTGAATTTAATTTGTGGCTCTAAAAATACGTGATATATTTTTATGCTAGTTGTTAGGCGATGAGTGCTAAGTAAAAGATTACAAGACAAGATTATAGCTTAAAAACGATGCAATAGTCGAACCAAACGACTGGAGATCGGGGCCTCGAGCTGTCGTATATGTGGCCTCAAGGTCGAGTTGGGTGGCCGGCTTGGAGTAGTTGAGGGTAGTCGATGGACAACTAACAGTTATAATAAAATCAATGACGGCTCTTTATGGCCAATAATAAACAATAAATAATGAACAATAAATAGAGCACAATGAATGTAAGCAATAAATGGAAGCAATGAAATCAAGAAAATATGTTAGAGAGCAGAGAGAATGTTCTTGTATATTTAGTATTGAGCAACAGATGTCTACAAAATGACAATGATCCCCTTTATATATGAGGATGAATCCCAACATATTACAAATGCATTAATTATAAAGATATGGGGCTGGTACAACCATTTAATGCTTTGATGCAGGCTTAGAGTAGCCTGACAGACTTTGTCGGCTCTAGCTATGCATCTTGGGAACTTCCCACTTTTTCACCATAACCGTTGATCTATACTGCCCCGAGGTCGGGCGTCGATAGCCCCTCGGGGGTGAATCTCGACCATAGCCTTGAGCCTTTGAAAACATGTTCACGAAGCATCGTAATGACGGAAAATTGGACCCTCCGATTTTACCGTATACAGATAGTCCACGTGTTTTTTAGACTGGAATGAAAGTAACGACTTCGATATCCATCTCTTCGATCTTCTCGTGATGATGCCATACTTATGACGTGAGCCTTTGTGATAACCGAGGCGTCCCGTCGGTCCATCTTTTCAGAATCATTCAATGCACTGCCAATTCTTATTCTTCAAAGCGATAATGTCGCTGCCGATCTAGCTCCCAAAAACGCATTGATTGCGCCTGCCGATACGTCTTTCAAAGGCATTGATGGCGCCCTGCCACCCTTTCTATAAATGGGAGCCTCCTGGAACTAATTTTTCATTCAAATATTCTTCAACAGCCTTTCACCCCTTTCTTCTCTCCATCCTCGTCCATTGTTATTTCCCATGTTTGAGGCCCGTGGCCTTAAGGTTACATGGCAGTGTTCTTCTCAGTTACGCCGTGGCCTTTCTCCAGGGTTTTTCCTTACCGAGCGAGATTGTACTGATTTGTTGTTGTTATTGACCTGAGGTGATGAGAGAGAAATCTCAAATTATCCTCGCATTAGTGGATATGAGGACTATAAACTTCTACTCATCTCTCTTGACTACCCGGTGCAGTGCCTCACTCCTTTTGCTTTCCGTGGAGTAAGGTGGTACTATCTACTAATTGTTGCATCCCGCACCGGTGTAACGTCTCAAGAAGTGGCTTCACAATAGTAGTGCTGGTGAAATCCATACTAGCCAGATTTTTCACCCAGCCACTTCTTCATCTATTTCTGCTTCTTTTGCGTCACTTTCCTCTTCTCCATCTTCTCCCTTGAAGATGCCATTTTGGAAGATCGAGATGAGACCCCCGAGGAGATGGTGCTCGAAGATAGTGCCGCCGAGGATGCACCCCCGAGAATAGATTAGGCTCTTGGCTTTTACTATATGTATACTATTTTGCTTCTTTATTTTTGTGTAAGGACCCCCCGTGGACTTTTGTAATCATATGTAAGGACCCTTCGTGGGCTTTTGTAATCTTGTGCTTATGAATACAAAGATGTTTCTTCAATTTGTCTCTGATTTATGCTATATTTCTTTTTATCTGCGTTTGTGAAGAATCTAAATGCATGACTCCACCGAATGGTGCGAATATCGAGCCGGGGTGCAAGTATTTCTTCTGGCTCTTGATTGATTAATACGATTCCTCATAGAACCCTTTGCCGTTCCTTGGGCTGAGCCCGGATCGGTTTGATAAACTCGGGTCGTCAGGATCCCCGAATTTGAGTTAAATGAGTGTAGGGCTTCGAACTTTCAGTACAAGACTTAGCCTTTTAGACCCCGCGATAATCCTCGAGGGTGGAGTTGCTAGGATGCCTGAGAATAAAGATAGCCTTGAGGCATTGCAGATAGATCCCGGATGAGGGCTTACCCAGGTTTAGATGGTATCTCGAGGACAAGCCCATAAGAGTATGTTTTTAGAGCTTATCTTCTTTTTGAGAGAGGCCCTCGAGATCTGGTACCATCTCGAGCCTTGCAATGATATTAATGGCCCCTTAGAGCATATCTTCTTCTTGTGGAGGCCCTTGATATCGAGTACCATCTCGGGACGTGTAGTGATGTCATCGGCTTCCTGGAGCCTATCTTCTTCTTGGTGGAAGTCCTCGAGATCGGGTACCATCTTGGGACGTGTAGTGATGTCATTGGCTTTCTGGAGCCTGTTTTCTTCTTGGTGGAGGTCCTTGAGATCGGGTACCATCTCGGGACTTGTAATGATGCCAATGGCTTCTTGGAGCCTATCTTCTTTTTGTCGAAGGTCCTCGAGATCGGGTACCATCTCGGGACCTGTAATGATGCCAATGGCCTCCTAAAGCCTATCTTTTTTTTGGCGAAGGTCCTCGAGATCGGGTATCATCTCGGGATTTGTAATGATGCCAATGGCTTTCTGGATCCTATCTTCTTCTTGGCGAAGGTCCTCGAGATCGGGTACCATCTCAAGGCTTGGTTGATGCGGGGGTGTCTGACCTCAAAACGTCGTATGGCGGCGTCAAGTGTATGACATGGTTAAAAAATGACCGAGGCAATCCCATCGACACATCTTACCGAAGCGATAAAAGCTTTAGCCAGTATTTTTAATTGGTCTTTGAGGCAGGTGGATAGTCGTCACTTTTTCCATATATAGGGTTGTCTTTGCCTTTTTGAAGATTCCGTTATTCTAGGTAGTTATCCTCTTTTGCAGAGTTCTCCTTTCCTGCGTTAGGCCCTCCCATCATTTCAGTTTTGACGCTCTTGCTCAAATTCCCACTCCAATTTTCTAGTTTTACCAACGTCATTACTGCTACATCAGGGTTCGCTCCGCAAGGAGAAGGGAGTTTCGCCTCTAGTTCCCGCCTAGTTGGCAGTGTGCCGTCAATGCCAGACGAGTCATCCTCTGGGCATTTTGTTTCGGGGAGGGGGGAGGGGGGGAATCTCCCGTTAGAGGAGTCTCCCATCGTTCGAGATCATTGGTAGTACGCCTCGAAGTTTACTTCTTTAATAGGAAAGGAGCACCTTGAGTCAGTGAGAAAGGACTGTGGATGGGGAGAAAAGGTAGTATTATGGGTACCTTCCCCGTAGGAGAGCATCGTGGATCATGCCGAGTGGTTTCTGAACGTGTATGGGTTGTGATTGAATTTTGTAGAAGGTATCAGGTTACCTTGGCGCAGGCTCACCCATCCCTTTGGA